ATTTTGAGGGAAGATTAGATAATAAACACATATGTGCAGCTGCATAAATTTGGATTGTTGTGCATTGATACATTTCACTAAGGTTCAGCCCTTTTTGGGACTCCACTGTGAAAGTCCAAACCCTATAGTTTTATTAACCTAACGAATTCTATGAAAGTATTCTTCTGACCAAGTCTTATAATTATGAGATTATCCTAAATTTAATTTTGCCTTTTTTATGTTGTTCTATAATGTATATACTATTTTGTACTACTATGTGATTTTTGCCTAATATCTTATTTTCTGGTCTAGATGGATACGTATTTCTAAAATTTGGAAATCAGAGTAATGTTTTCCTTAGGAAGACAGTCACTTAGTATTATACCATAGATGCTCCTCATGGGAATATGTCACATGATTCATAACTTTTTCCAGTGTAAATATTTGCAATTAATACGTAATTCCTGTAATGTAGGCAGAGCATTCTCATCTGACCACCAACATCACACATTCTAAGCGTAATCTATTAAAACTAGGAAAGCCTGTGAAAGGTATTACCCTGATGGGCAGTGAACCTTTCATTAGTCCATGATGAAGAGTGTGTGTGTGTATAATGTTGTTGTTCATGTGCCTGGGTATGTTTATGTATGTTGGTAGAAATTTGTCAGCTGCTCTTTCTTAAAAAGACTGTGTTCTTAACTACGTTATTGTTCCGACAGTGTACTTTGTTTTTGAAAATTATGGGTGATAACAGTGTTTGTCCTCTTGCCTTTCTTCCTATTCCTACTTGGCAGTATAAAATTTGGCAATTTATTGTTGCTCCTCAGTATTATTTTTTAAATGGAATCCAAGAACCACTCAAAGGGTATAAGGAGCTCTCTTTACCAGTCTGTCATAATTCCTAAAGACTTTTTCATCATTTTTATGCTTAGTATCACATTTAAAATAAGTAAGGATGATACTGCTGAAGTAGTTTAAATACTCTCCATAGATACCAAAGATTAGTATTTCTTCTGATCCTTAAATTTTTACTCAGAAGTGAAATCTTATTAAAATCAAATTTTTGTCTAAGAAAACTGTTAAATGTTAATTAAGATTCCATACGGACCTGCCTCTTCTGGTTAACTTTTCCCAGGGCTCACACATCTCATTGGATCGCCTTTTCTCAGGGCATATATGCATGGATTTTTCATGGACATAAGACTCTATCACAAGGTAAATACAAAGCCATTTCTTCTCTGCTTGCACTTTCATAAAACATACTTACGATTTGTAAGGGATCTGTCTATTCTTTGGCATAATAGTCAGGGTGTATATGAAAATGATTTTGATAAATACCATTCTTTTTTTTATTTTTTTGATTTCGAAAAGGTGAAATTGATGGTAAATCCATTTGCTTATGAAGAATATAGAAAAGATAGAATACGACAGAAGATAGAAGAAACACGTGCACAGAGAGTCCAAT